GGAATAGGGGATAGCATTTTTGCAGGAAGGTGGGTGGGAGGAGGAGTATTCTAGGTAGCTGTGGGAGTCGGTGGGCTTGAAATGAATATCGGTTTCTAGGTGGTTGCCCGATATGGAGACAGAGGTGTCCAGGAAGGGGAGAGAGGTGTTAGAGATGGTCCAGGTAAACTTAAGGTTGGGGTGGAAGGTGTTAGTGAAGTGTATGAACTGTTCGAGCTCCTCGTGGGAGCACGAGGCGGCGCCGATACAGTCATCAATGTAACGGAGGAAGAGGTGGGGTTTAGGGCCGGTGTAGGTACGGAAGAGGGATTGTTCCACGTAACCTACAAAGAGGCAGGCGTAGCTTGGGCCCATGCGGGTACCCATGGCTACCCCCTTTGTCTGTAGGAAGTGGGAGGAATTGAAAGAGAAGTTGTTGAGTGTGAGGACGAGTTCGGCTAAGCGGATGAGGGTATCAGTGGAGGGGGACTGGTCGGGCCCGCGGGACAGGAAGAAGCGGAGGGCCTTAAGGCCATCTGCATGGGGAATGCAGGTGTAGAGGGACTGGACGTCCATGGTAAAGATGAGGTGTTGGGGACCGGGGAATTGGAAGTTCTGGAGGAGGTGGAGGGCGTGGATGGTGTCACGGACATAGGTAGGGAGTTCCTGGACCAAGGGGGAGAAAATGGAGTCTAGATAGTTGGAGATCAGTTCGGTGAGGCAGGAGCAGGCGGAGACAATGGGTCGACCAGGGCATCCAGGTTTGTGGATTTTGGGAAGGAGATAGAAGCGGGCAGTGCGAGGTTGGGGAACGATGAGGTTGAAGGCCGTGGGTGGGAGGTCACCTGAGGTGATGAAGTTGTGGATGGTTTGGGAGATGATGGTTTGGGTGGTTTGACTGTTAGAGATTAAGGTAGGCTGAAATTGTTTTACTGAGAAGAAGGTGTATGGTGTGCATGCATAGTAGACAATAGCAGCTGTCTGACTTTGAGTCTCCAAGGTCCCAGAAAGGTATTCTTGGCATCGGATGGTAAACAATTGTGCCACAGGCTTACATTTACATTCTAAAATGAAAGGGATTCTGGTATAAGGATAGATGATTAGCACTTCTGTCTGGATGCAAGATTAATATGTTTCACAATGCCGAGAGAGAAGGCAGAAGCAGTCATTTTTGAGATCAGGTTGTAGGTTTCCCATCTAATTAATGAACATTACAGCCAGACACAGCAGTGTTGTGTAAATAGCAGAGAAATAATATATCTTGTTGGAGTATGTGAGTTATCACAAGAAGATGCAGGAGGGAGATCATCTTTAGTCAAAGTACACACTCAGCAGCCTTCGACAGATACCAGGTGATTCATCCTGGGGGGGAGCAGGGGAGATAAAGAATAATCTTTGGAACAGGCTTTGTTGCTGGTGATGGGTGTATAAAAATCTGAAAACTGAGGGAAATGTTTGAAAACACAGTAACTCAAAGACTATATTCAGCAATGCATGTTATGGAAACCCGTTGGAAGCTGGGGGCAACAATGGTCTATTTGCTATAAGGATTGTTACATAGTGGAGATTGTGCTGTATGTTTAGCATAAATGAGTAACATTTCTTTCTGAATTATGAAGTATAAGGTGCTTACGAAAATGAAATAGTGTTTAGTCAGTACTGCTTTTAGTCAATTGTTTCAGTAAAGGTTTTAAATCAAGAAGTATAGCTATCTCATTCTTTTAGATAATAATATGAATATTGAATCCAATTTTAAATGTTAGGTTTCTACAGAGGATAAAAAAGGCAAATCCAGTAAGACAAATAAAACACACTAATTAATGCTTGTATGAAATTGCAAACTTACTGGCCAGGGATTTGCTTGGTAGGTTTTTGTAGATGTGCGCATCATTTATCTCCAAAGCATTGTAAAATTCCTTACATGCTCTGTTGCTTTTGCTCTGCAGATGAAGGAGGAGCTCAGATATTCTTACACACAGTGGAGTATTTATATTTCTGAACTGTTGAAAACAATGCAAGCTTTAGTATGAATGTTGCCAACGGGGAAGCATATCAGGATAAGGAATAATTTATCTTTGTTTGACATCAGATCATTTATTCTGATTGCATTAACCTTGACTTAGTGAGTAGCATTCTCACTCTGAGTCAGAGGTTCAAATCCTACCCCAAGGACTTGGGCATATATCTTGGCTGATACTCTTGTGCAATGTCAATGAACTGCTGTGTTGGAAGTGGTTAGATATTTCAATACAGCGTTAAACAAATATGCTATTTTACCTACTATAATGCTACACAAGGAAAAACTGTGGAGTTCTCTCTGGTGTTCTGGCCAATATCTACCCCTTACTAATACCTAAGAAATGATATGTGGTCTTTACCATATTACTGTTTGTGGAGATTGGTTTGCAAAGCAGTGTGATGCCAACTGTGGGTTCAATTCCCATCACTGATAAGGTTACTATGAAGGACTGTCCTTCTCAACCTCTCCCCTAACCTGAGGTATGGTGGCCATCAGGTTAAGTCATCACCAGTCATCTCTCTCTAATGAGAGAGCAGTCCTATGGTCTGGTAAGACTGTGGCGACACAAAAGCTGTTTGAGAGACATTGCTGTATGCTACATAACCTATGTTACAATACAGTCTGAACTTCCAACACATTGTTAAGTAATTTGCTTATGAAACCTCATAGTTTGTGTCCTAACCCAGAAGTGATTGTTTGGGGAATACATATTTCTAACTTAGCTAAACAGGTGGTATCAACCTACAGCCAATTGCAGGCAGAGAGCCTCGTCAATCATCTGTTGGTGCATAAGCCCCAGACTATAATGTACATCCAAATGTGATGGCTACCACAGTGACTCAGACCTCTGCTGTGAACTGTAATGCACCATTATCACCTGAAAGAAAACAGAGGTTATGCTTAACACTGAACAGAACTCTAACTAAGCAGCTGTCACCACTTTATATATTCTTTGGCAGACAATCTGATTTAAAACTACTGAAAAGCTATTTCTTGTACTATTATGCCCATGATTTCTGCATATGTGTTTATGAAAAAGACATATTATTTCTAAAAATCAGGATGGAATGGACGATTTACCTTGCCAGGAGGACAGGTGACCTTTGATTGTGTTTTTTCTTCAGATGGGGACTGATTCATGTCTGGGAATGACATTTTGTTCTTTATTCGTTCACGGGATGTGGGTGTCGCTGGCAAGGCAGCATTTATTGCCCATCCCTAATTGCCCAGAGGGCAGTTAAGAGTCAACCACACTGCTGTGGGTCTGGAGTCATATGTAGGCCAGACCAGGTAAGAATGGCATTTTCCTTTCCCAAAAGGACATTGGAGAATCAGATGGTTTTTTTCCTCCCCCGACAATTGGCAATCGGCAATGAATTTATAATCATCGTTAGACTCTTAATTCCAGACATTTATTGAATTCAAATTCCACCATCTGCTGCAGCAGGATTCGAACCCAGGTCCCCAGAACATTTTCTGGGTCTCTGTATTAACAGTCCAGTGATAACACCACTAGGCCATCGCCTCCCCCTACAGAAATTAAGGCATAATCGTCACCCAGACTTAATGTCTGCAAACTGAAAATCCACAAAGATGGATACAAAGAAAATCACTTAATCTATGAGACCATAAGGTCACAAGCCATAGGCGCAGTAACAGGCCATTCAGCCCATTGAGTCCTCTCTGCCATTCAACGAGGTCATGGCTGATCTGATAATCCTCAACTCTACTTCCCTGCCTTTTCCCTGTAACCGTTGATTCCCTTATTGATTAAAAATCTGTCCATCTCAGCCTTGAATATACTGAATAACCCAGCCTCGACAGCCCTCTGTAGTAAGGAATGCCACATATTCACTATCTTTTGAGAAAAGAAATTCCTCCTCATTTCTGATTTAAATGAATGACCCCTTACTCTGAGATTATGTCTTTGGTTCTACACTCTCCCATGAGGGAAACTATTTTACTGCATCTAACCTGCTACATCCACTAAGAATTGTGTATGTTTCAGTAATGTCGCCTCTTATTCTTCAAAACCCCAATGTGTATGGGTCAAAATACTCACCTTTCCTCATGAGGCAGGCCTTCCATATCCAGGATCAACCTAGCGAATCTTGTTTGGACTGCTTCCAATGCCGGTATATCTTTTCATAGGTAAGGAGCCCAAATCTGTTCACATATTCCAGCTGTGGTCTGACTAGTACCTTGTGTAATTTTAGTAAAACCTCCTTATTTTTATATTCCATTCCCTTTGAAATAAAGGTCAAGAGTCCATATGCCTTCCCTATTATCTGCTGAATTTAGATGCCAGCCTTTTGTGATTGTGCATGAGGATTCCCAAATCCTTCTGTTGTAGCTTTCTGCAGTCTTTCTCCATTAACAGATGTTAAGCTAACTTGCCTATAGTTACATGTTTCTGTGTCCTTCCCTATTTAATTAACGGTGTTACATTTGTAGTTTTCCAATCCTTTTCCAGGATCTAAGAATTCTTGGAAGATTACTACCAGTGCAACCACTATCTCCACAGCTATTTTTTAAAATGTCCTTGGATGCATCCGATCAGTTTCAATGGTCAAGCTAGTCTTCAGCCTCATTAGTTTCCCTAGTATTTTTTCCTGTTGTAATTATTATCACATTTTTATTCTCCTCATTTTGTCCCTTGGTTATTTAGAATTTTTGGAAAGCTTGTAATGTCTTCTGCTAGGAAGACTGATGCAAAGTACTTACCATCCTCCTATGCCATTTCCTGGTTCCTCATTATTATTTTTTAAGTGGCCTTGTTAACTTTAGCCTCTCTCTCACTTTTCATATATTTAAAGAAGCTCTACACACATAACAACAGTAAATTGAAAATCAAATGACTGCGAGCTCAAACGAAATAGAAACATTTAGCAGGTCAGACAATATTTGTAGAGAGAACAGGTGAATGTTTTCCAACTTAAAAACCTGGTTTCAAAACACCAAAACAATTTGTTCTGTCCTCAAATGGTGACTCACATACTGAATGTTTCCAGCATTTTGTGTATCCCAACCATTCTCAACGACTGAATAAACAGTCATTGCTCTTGGATAATGCTGAACCAACGAGAATTGGAAGAATTCTTTGCACAGTTATTCAAGCACAGAATGTTTCACTACAGAAGGAAACTGATACATGGACCATCAGTTAAAGAGAATGAGATATGCATTTGAGAACTCACATACATAAAAGGTTATAGCAAAAGGTACGAGTGATGAACTTGATTAGGTAATTCCAATTTTGGTGTTAGATGTGAACACCAGTACAATTATATGCATTACAGACCAAACGGCCTCCCATTGTAACATACTATCCCCTCTCCATTTCCTCACACCATGTACTATTCCCAAGCCTCTCCCTCTCCACTACAAAGTTATCTGAAATTAGCCAGAAGTTGGTAAGAAAAAGTGCGCTGTTAATTTACCTTCCGCTTTTACCTCCATGCGTTGCCACCCCTAACAATATAAGAGTTATTGTGGGTTGGACATATTACTTTTCCTGCAAACTTCTGCAATTGGTTAGCACAGTGATGAACTGTACCACTGAAATACCACTGTACTTTAAACAATTACTGAACAGAAACATACTTTCACCAGAGGACAACAAAATGATTTAGAGGGCTATAAACTTGGATGATATAGCATGCAGTACAGTAACATATACATTGTCCTACCATTTCAGCTTCTGTATTATTCAGAATTTGGGGATAGATTCTATACAGATGAAGAACTATTCTGTCCACCAGTTTTTCATTGAGCGTCCCTTCATTCGTTAGAAACTGTGTGTCCTTTTCCAGCCGCTTGCAGTAGTCTGTAAAGTACCACAACATGAGCATGCACCCTCATGATATCTTTTAACAAATCAGAGTCACATTTAGCATGTTTTAGAACATAGAACATAGAACATAGAACATTACAGCGCAGTACAGGCCCTTCGGCCCTCGATGTTGCGCCGACCTGTGAAACCAATCTGAAGCCCATCTAACCTAAACTATTCCATTATCATCCATATGTTTATCCAATGACCATTTAAATGCCCTTAAAGTGGGCGAGTCTACTATTTTTGCAGGCAGGGCATTCCACGCCCTTACTACTCTCTGAGTAAAGAACCTACCTCTGACATCTGTCCTATATCTATCACCCCTCAATTTAAAGCTATGTCCCCTCGTGCTAGCCATCACCATCCGAGGAAAAAGGCTCCCACTGTCCACCCTATCTAATCCTCTGATCATCTTGTATGTCTCTAT